TATAGTATACATTATGCTTCTACTTTTAGTACTTTAAGTATATTTTGATGCTAAAATTTTACTTGTAATAGAGCAGAGGGCTTCAAAGTGGGGAAAATAGTTTCAGGGGAGGTTCAGTGAATGGAAGTGAAAAATTTGTCTTCAAAAGGAGATCACATAGAATAAAAAATTGTTTTCAAATGAGATCACATAGAATAGACTGAACTTTCCCTTATCCACTACCCATTACTTGAAAAATCATCTGTCTCAGGTGGGACAAAAGTTATATTTTATGGTATAATAATTATTGAAAAAATTACCTCTTACTTTGGGATCATTCTGATATGTTAGCCGACATTTTGAGCCTGTTGGAAAATATATGCACAAACAAAGCATAATATAAAATCAACATTACAAAGTGATCATGAGTAAATATAGTAATAGAATATACACTGCTGCATTAACTAATGTGTTACCAAATGTGTTTGTCTGTTTCTCTATAGTCTTTATGTCTTCATTTTTTTTATTTAGATGGAACCTCGCTTCAGGAGACGGGCTGATGGCAGCCTGAATCTGACTGATACAGTGGAAGCGGCAAAGGTGAAGGAAGGCAGCAAAGGAAAGCCATACACAAGACCCCTGTCCCCGGAGAAAGTGCTGGACAAAGCCAAGAAAAGCTTAAGTCAGCACCACGGAGATCTGTCTAACAGAAAGCAGCTGTTGGGTGTCTTTGAAATCCAGTTTGGTGTATTTCGCGGGCAAACATTTAGGTGGGTGGCTGAAAATGCCTTGGGGTATGCTGCTTACCTGGTGGTAGCTATGAAGAGGGACCCCACAGGAGGCAGCAAAGACTCCCAAGAACATGCCCACAACAAGGGGAGTTTCAGGGAGTATATTGAGCTCTTTCCTTCTGGCAGAATTGCCATTGCCATGAAGAAAGAGCAATATGCTGGGAAAGCTCCCCAGCATGCTGCTGACTCCCAGCACGCTGCCCCCACCCAGCACGCTACCACCACCCATACTTCCACTGCCTCTCTCCGCTCCCTCTTGGTTAGGAAGTTGCCTAACCAGAAAAACCTGACCAAGACTGTAGAAAGGCTGGTTTCCCCCCTCAAAGTCGCACCTTGTAAGCAAACATTTATTTGTATAACACTTTTTTGGTTTGTTTAGTATTTATTGCTGTTCAGTAGTCATGTTTATCTGTTTGTCCTGTGTTTTTTGTAGCTTTGGCCCAGGCACATGCGTGGCCCTCAGCCACCCTCACCCACCCGACTGTGTCCATTGAGACAGCCACAGGGCCTTCAGCCACCCTCACCTGTCCGACTGTGCCCATTGAGACGTCATGTCGAGCCTGATCCTGCCTGTGACATTTGAACCTGCTCCTTCAATGCCTTCTGTCCCTAAGCACCGATGGCTGATGCAGGTGTATGCCCAGGATGTCCTGCAAAGGCTGGATGAGATGAAGGCCACTATCACATCACAATATGGTCGGATCTTAAAAATGGATTCTACTAAAAAAGTGGCCAGAAGACTAGCAGGACGCAGCTATGGCACTGCTACTTGGGCAACTAATGTTGGCAATGAGCATGGACAGGTGATCATGTCCGTGCTCACAGCCAGCGAAGGTTTTGGTCTCGGGCCAATGATTGAAGGCCTTATCAAGCAATACAGGGTGGCTCCTCCCGAAGTACTGTATGTCGACCAAGACTGCTGTGGCAACACTCTTTTGAGGAGGATGTTTGAAGAGTGGGAGCAAATGACCATCCGGTTAGATGTATGGCACTTCATTGCAAGGTTTGCTGTGGGTTGCACCACCGACTCTCACCAGCTGTATGCCACATTTATGAGTCGCCTCAGCCATGGTATTTTCATGTGGGACCAGGTCGACCTGACGGCCCTGAAGACAGCGAAGCATGCAGAGCTAGAAGCTGACGGGAAACCATCATCTGAGGCTGATGTGCTGCACTGTATCAGTCGTAGCGAGCTAGCAGTACATTGCAGGAGAACCACTCGCGGGACCAAAGAGACCCTGGCGCTGATTGAGAGCCATATTCAGGCCTTTGATGGAGATGCTGGTCGTGACACTCTTGGAGTCCCACTAATAAACTCAGCCTGGATGAGAGAGATTTTAAAGTCCCAGCGGAAGCACGTGGCCTGCATCCAGGATCCTGTCGGTGTGCAGCTCTACATGCAGACGGGTACCTTATTGAAGGGAGGGCACCGCCTGCCAACCTACCGCTGTGCCAGAGGTTCCACTTCGCTTGAGTCATTTCACCTGCACCTTAACAGATTCATCCCAGGTTAATAAATGATTTAACTGAATTATTAAAATAAGATTTGATTTATATTGAAATAATTATGAGAATTGCAAGAACAGCTATTTGTGTATTTATATGAAATTTTTGTGCGGTATTTTTTTGTTTTGTTTTTTTAATTTACAGGCACACTGGCAAGTGACACCTTCTTTCAGGTGTATCTTTTGGATGGACTTGCAAGATGGAATGAGGACCGGGCTGTGGCAGCAACAACTGATGAGCAGCAGCCACATTCCTACAATCATCTTCTGCGTCATGCTGTCAATACTCTTGACAGTGGTCAGAGACCACTGAGGTTGGTATAGAGGTGGATGAAAGTTATGCTGAACTTGAGGAGTTTCAGGACATCACTGTCCCCACCTTTGACACTGAACGGACACCTGCTGCCTCTTCACAAGCATCAGTGTCTGCAGCATCTGCAGCATCATCTCCAAACCACCCTAAAAGAGGGACGATTCAGGGCCACTAAGAAGATTGTGGCCCCAGGTGTGGAGAGCACCAAAAGGTATGTTACGTTTAGTAAACACAGGGTCTAAAAAGTTTTGTATAAAATATACATAACTGAAACTGGCTGAAATATCACCTACAGCTTTATTTGTTTTAGTAAATTAAAAAAAAAAGGATTTCTAGTAAAATGAGTAAAACCTGATGCCTTCATGACTAGCTTATCTTCCTGCAGCCTGTTTAGTTCTTCCTGCAGCCTGGTTATAACATAAATTAATAGTTGTGATTTACATTTAATGCTGCCTATATGTTAGGTTGCTAAGTAAGTTACGTTGCTATGGACACAGTTCCAACCGTACATTGGAATATTTTATTTAGCAGAAGCAAGGCAATCATTTCTTAATCAGTAAAATAATTTTGTATCAATATGTTGAGTCAAATAATTTGTCTTTTACTGTACTTTAGTAAGTAGCCGTGTAATAAGCGGGATAATGTGCAGTCATTATTGTGAAAAAACCCCGACAGGCTGACTAACGACACCGTATCAACCTGTAATAATTCCACAACACAGTAACCCAGTAGAGACCTAATTTATTGATATGACATTTCAACATCGACCTAGAAAACAAAGACAACATAACTATGCGCAGATATTATAAATTAACATCTAGACAACACAAAGCAAAACAGACAGAATAGGAAAGGGAAAATAAAACTAAAATCACACAATGAAAACAATCTTACATTAATAATATGTATTCTGTTGTAATTTGCAGGTGTTTCGTTGGGGCTCATAGTCCTGCACAGTGGCCTGACTGCAACCGAGTGGTGGAGGCCATCTTCACAAGGCTCTGTGCTCTCTACCCAAATGCGGTGCGCTGTGACGGAGTGAGGGTGTCCCGCTTCACTATGGTAGCACGTGCTTACAAGCACATCCGAGAGTGCATCCTCACCAATGCTAAGGTGATGAGCGAGACCACCATCCAGCTCCCAGAAGTGAACGCAGCAACAGTCACACAATGGTGAGTAAATTAGCATTGTTACCACTAAGCCTAAACTTAAAGCAGCTAATGGCTACACAGAGGGTCCAAGTAATTGATGCGATTGACTTAGGCTGATGTTACACGGGGCAATTTTTTGATCAATGCTGCCGGGCAACTTTGGTTAATATTGCCGTCAACAGGCAACCAGGTGAGACACAGGGCGCACGATTGATCTGAAGTATCCAGATTGAAATTTGTTACCCATTCTCAGTGGGAAAGTGCCCAAGAAACATTTCTCAAAAAAAGTTGCCCAACAAAATTGCTCAAAAATTTGCCCCGTGTATCATCAGCCGTAATGTAACCGTGGCTGCTTTGACGGGTCTAGAAACAAATCAACAAGAGTTCAACTTCTGTTTTCTTCTTCATTATGAAAGATAAGATTTATGACATGGATCAGCTGTCTTCAACAGACTGCAAGTATCCATAATCCATAATACAATGTTAATCTCAATGAAGTAGCCATTTCACAAAAGCAGTAATACATTAGATGACTGATATGTGATCTCAGCTGTCATGCTGCTGCGTCATAGTCATGATCAAATAGTAGTTGATCACACATCTTTTGTATTATTGCTTAAATGTTTATTAATATTGGTTGTTTTATGTTTCCCAGATATGTGATCTCAGCTGTCATGCTGCTGCGTCATAGTCATGATCAAATAGTAGTTGATCACACCATATTTTGTATTATTGCTTAAATGTTTATTAATATTGGTTGTTTTATGTTTTCCCAGGTTTAGCAGGCGTTGCAAGTCAAAGGAACAGGAGATTTTGAAGCAGGGTATCTAAGCCCCAGACGCACCCATAGCAGGACCTGAGAAGCTTCCTGTGGCTATGCAGAAAGGACCAACTCTCTATCCAGGCAATTTGGCTGAGCCTCACCTTTTTATCCTGCCACCAAACACTGCTGGGGAGGCAAAACTCAAGGGGAGGTCACAACCTCAGGCCATCTCCCAAGCTCCACCATCACATCAAGGACTTCCTGTCATTGCACCAGCACTAACCGTCTCTCTCCCTTTCATTTTACCATCTGTGCTGCTTCCTACGGTGTTAGGTGCTTGCGCGCCGTCCTCTACAGTGCCTGGTACCTCACAGGTGGTTCTTCAACCTCCCATTACCTTCAGCTATGCCACCATCAGCTCAGACACAGACATCCAGTCAAGATGTTCCTTACTCCACTCAGCAATACAGAAAGAGAAAACTGGAGAGGGAGCGCACTGGAACTATCACAAGAAAATATGTGAAGAAGACAGATGTCATTCTTTGCAGAAAGTGTAACAAAGAGAGAAAGCCACCATCACATCTTCAGTATTTTGGCAACTGGTTCTGCAAAGAGTCTGAGACTCAATCATATGGTGAATGGAGGACTGTGCTAAAGGAACGAGGTTATAGGGAAAAAAAAACAGGAAATGGCAACCCTCCAGCTTCTTCGAATTGCTCTTTCAGCACATTATTTTTATTTATTTATTTGGTTAATGTTTGCTTTATAGAGCAATTCACAAGTCTCCAACAATGACAGCTGTCTCTAAAATGTATAATAACTCTGTGCGTTTCCTCTGCTGCATGACTCTGTTGGGAAAATATTTTATATTTCATATTTCATTTATATATATATATATATATATATATAATGGTATGTTTATGTATTT